CCAGAAGCTGATGGAATTTTGCCTCCATTAAATACCCTTTAAAGATTGCAGTTTCAGAAGGTCTTTCCTACCACTGGCGATGAGCTTTTCTTTAACTATCTACTGTGGCCAGCTTAGCTATTGCTGTCTCCCTGAGGACAGCAACAATCCTTTACCTTCTTCCACAAGCAGTCTTATTCTTGATGACTTCTCTGTTTTTCCATTTATCACTGCTTGGCATCGGTAAAAGCCCTTCTGCTTGCTTTGCACATTGTATAGTGTTACTCCTTTCTCAGTACTGAAAGAATAGTTGGTCCCGGGTGAGAGATGAGAGGTGTCATCCATTATCAGAGTCACGCTGGATCCGTACTCAGGGGCTGTGATGAGACAGGGGAGCTCAGCATTACCACCTTTGGTCACGAAGATCCGGAAAGTCGGGGTATACCACACATTATTGGGATCTGTGGAGAAGACAAGATAGGCCGGAGAATAGGATCAGAAAATGCATTGAAGCTGAGAAACACATTCCAGCAAAGGCAAGTCCGCAGTATTGCTGCCCAGTGGGAGTTCGATGCTGGGGCAGCCCTACTCAATGCCTGCCTGACTCAGCCTCCAAAAACTCACACAACAAGCCCAATTCCAGCTAAGGCATTTGAGGAGAGCACAGCAATCAACTCAAATGTACACAGGCAAGAGAGACTGAGAATTATGCTTACCTCTAATTAAACTTTTCACCATGGTGTTAGTTTTATTTATCAGACCTCCAGCTTCCCTGTCCAGGACAGTACCTCTGGTACAAGGGCAGGGGTGAACTCAAGTGGTGGAGCTACCACAGCATAACTTCTTCTGGGGTAAAAGAATATTTGGGGTTCAGGTCACATTGTGAGGATGTGATTCATGTGACTTTCCCTTATCTGGGGTACTGGCAATACAGTTCTCTGATTTCCAGATCCCACTGCTCATTACAACACCAAACAGACTTTCATCCCTGTTTTTTCAGGAAGGGAAGCCAAGGTAGATGGAGGGAGAGGTCCAGGCCATTCACAGATATGCATGAGATGTAGATGCTCTGTACCCTACCCCAGCGCTTCAGCCACAGGCCCCATTGTGTGTGAGCTTGCATGGTTGTGGGTGAGCCACTGCCCCAGTAGGAGCCTGCACTGCTCCCCCAAACACACACACAACCACAGCCATAGAGACGACCTGTGTAACGCCTGTGCTCCCTGAAAGGAGGCTGTTCTGCCGGCATATGTGGGAAGAGGGAAGCTTGGTTACCTCGCACAAACAGATGTACCGTTGCAATGCCCTTGTCGGTGCTGTTGACGTAAGCACACTTATAGGTGCCTGTATCCCTGTAAGTGGCTTTGGGAATACTGAGCGTGCTGCTGGTTTGGTTGCTGAATGTATCCTTTCGGCTTTTCCATTCAACTTCGGACTCTCCTGAGCAGTGCAAGATGACTGGATCACCTGTGTTGACAACCAGAGCAGGGAGGTCAGGGCTGATCACTGGGGATGCTGAGCCTACAAAGGAAAAAGAGAAAGAGTGAGGATGCAGAAATAATGCCTAATGATGCTCTGTTGGAGTTCACACTGCTGAGCAAGGAGTAGCTCAGCATCAGGAAAAGGCTGGGCTTGGGATCCAAGCTGGCTTTTCGGCTTGCGTCACTCCAGCCATTCTCCACCCACCAGACTGATATGGCCTGATACTCCAAGCAATGAATTTCAGGGACGAAAGAAAACCCCACATGTGAACGTTTAGAGCATCGGGACAGAAAAAACAATCATCTGGAGCTGATTAAGCCAGATGCTAGCTTGGAAATTATTCCTGTTGGGTTTTGCCTCTTCTTACAACAGTTTTCCTTTTGTGGCAGAGTTGGAGCTACTATATGAACTTGGTAAGCCCATAACATCATTTGGTGAAGTTTAAGCCAAGTCTAGCGGATGGAACTCTTTGTTGCATTGGTGCTGTGATGAGCTAGAACAGACCTGGAAAGCTTCTGCAGAGCAGGTCAGTGCATGCTTTTTGGTTACTGGATTTTGAAGGACACCTACTTATGCCTTATCTTAGAGTCAAACAGTATATTTTCCTCGCAGATACCACCAAAACATTATGAAGTGAGTCAGCATCATTATTCATATTTGGGCGTGGGAAACTGAGGCACAGAAAAGCTGAATGGCTCAGGAAAGCCCATAGCTGCAGTTGTACATACAGCACACCAGGCCATACCGACACTGGCATTGCAACCCAGCTGGATTTCTGATGCCGTCTGTATTTTGAAGATACTGGCTGAATAAAGGGGAACCAGGGTCCCACTCCAGCCCTTAGCGTCAGGGGGAAATATTTTTTCCCTGTTTTGCCGCATCAGCCAGTTCTTTGAGTCACCACCTATATTTAGGGTGGGGGGGAAGTGAGAAATGAATCAGCGCTGCGGGGCTAGGGAAGAAGTGGTACTGCCACCCCCACGCCAGGCCTTCGGGGAGGACAGGAAACATTGCAAATGGCTATCTGTGCTCAGGGGGCTCTGCACCCCCCTCCGGCCCCTATCCAGGGCTATTCTCCCACTTCTGCTTTCCTTCCCAGTTGCTAACCCATCCTCACATCTTAAAGGGACACACACCCAGGTTCAAATAATAGTAAGTAGAAAGGTAGCTGCCCAACTTATCAATTTGTTGCTCTTTGTAGAGGAGGTCACTGCAGGCAGTGCTCCTCTTGGGTGGTGGCAGCAGAAACAAGGGCTGAGTTTGGTCTTGTGATGCCTCAAACTCTGCAGCAGACTGCTCTGGACTCATAGGAGCTCTTTAGTTGAAAGATTTGTTGTCCAAATGAACATAAAAACCTAACTCATCAGGAAGAGGAAGAGGGCAAGTCACCCTATAATGGCACCATTAGTCCAGCTGCACTTGTATATTCTTCAGGGGAAAGGGGAGTAGTGGCCAGACGTTACAGCCTTTGTTGCAGGGAGAAAAGAGAAGGCTATTTATGGTCATGGGCAGCAAAGACAGTTTAAAGCAAATCTGTTCCCAGGTGCTGCCTTGGACACTGTCCCTGTAACACAGCCAGCAGAAGCACGCACCCATCCTCATCCACCCCTGGTCACAGCTCATTTAGCAAGGAAGACTATGTCCGAGGTACAAATGTGTGTCCTGTGCTACCAGCTGTGCTTAGGGCTCTAACACCAGAGCCCATCCATCAGAGCTCAAAGTGCATCATTTAAGCAGTCTTGGGCTGATGCCTCCCTCCGTGCAACGAAGGGTTGAGAATACGAGACTTGAGGCCCTGGAGAGCATTGCTGGTGCATGACAACAATGCAGTTGCTTAGGGGAAACCCAAACAAGGCCTGGATCAAACTCAGTGGCCCTGGGGGAAGAAGCAGAGGACAGGGAGCTTCGGAGCATGGAATATTTGAATTTTTTCTCCCTTTATTTTTGTGTTTGTTTTTTTTTTTTTAAATGCTTTTATCTTTCTGATAAAAAGGTCAGACAGGGCAGAGACATTAAATGCAGGACAATGCCAAGTGAAGGCCACCCAAGCATCCATTCTTTCGTGTGTGCTGGGGGATGAGTCAGACCAGCAGGTCCTTTTCCAGAATGGGGAAGCAGGGCTGCTGCGGGAGGCTTTCTCCCTGCTGACCAGTGTGCAATCTTGCACAAAGCCCAAGGATGTCTCTCTGCTGCTCTTCAGCAGCTTCCGCAGCATTGCCAGTAACTGCTGGCCAAAGGTTTTACCACACTTGGGTTGTGTAACCATGACCTCTAGTTACAGCTGCAGGCTCTGTCCCTGCCTCTCCCATGCCAGCCAAAACATTACTTTCCTCTGCTGAGGGTTTGAAAATGGTGAGGAAGGAGAAGTGAAGGCTAGTAAGATAGAGAGGCTCAAGAACAACCTTACCACAGAAACCAGTCATCAGGAACTTGACTTGGTCCTGGGGGATTAACTAGGCTAAGGTCTGGCCCTGGGCGGGACCCATACCAGGCCTGAACTCCCCTTGCTCCCACCTCAACAATGGGAGGGAAAAGCTTGATTTTTGAGGACACCTTCCCCAGAGTAACCTACAGTATCTGGGCGCAGGGGATGGGGAAAAGGGTGCCTATCACATCTCTGCCTGGGCCTTCTACCTCAGAGGTTTAAATTCATTAACAACAAGAAAACAAAAGAAACCCCAGGAAGACCTCTCAGGATGACCAAGAACACAGAAGTGAGCTGATCAGGTTTCAAATCCTTCCTCTGCTTGACCTGAAGCTGGGATTTGAGCCCCTGACACTCCCCCAGCAAGAGCCCAGATCATAATGGTCATACCACATCAGCCGTGGGAGCTCTCAGAAGATGCGCTTGCAATCCAAGAGGCGGGAGCTCTGGCTCCAGCTTGAGGCTATTGCTTTGGACAACCTTTGCATGCTGCAGCTTTGTGCTGCAGATGGCCAGCAGTGATGGTACTTAGACAAATGTGTGTCTAACACCCTGACATGGCAGACAGTGCCTGATGAGCTGGTGACCTGCATTGCCCAGTGCCTCAAGGAACCTTCAGAGAGATCCTGGGAGATATCATTATGATCTCTCACAAATCTACATCAGACCTGCCTAGTCCCTAATATCTTTAAAAAAAACATAAGAAATTAAAAACGCTGCAGCCTTCACAACCCAGTTCCCAGCACAGCAGACCTGGAAAAAGCCTGCTCAGCATGTCAAAGACATGACACGCCATGCAGTGCAACAGCGAGAACGATGCAAATTTCCCGGGTTGAAAATATGAACACAACAGTGGCTCAAGAGGGATACACTGCCTCCCTGTTACATGCTGAATGCTTTCCACCCCAGATTGCCCCCTTCCAGGGGGGACTTCCCACCATAGTCTCATCATGTGGGGAGCAAGCTCAAAGGGATAACGAAAGAAAGCGTCACACAATATCTGAGAGGCTGCCAGCACTTAAGACGCCAGATTAGTAATACTGGTTTCTGCCTGTTTGGTTGCAAACCTCAAAACAGGCTTAGTGACTCTTTCTTGAGGTTGATGGGTTATTGCCTCTCAGCCATCTCCGCAGCCTCAAAAACCAGGCATGTTCACCTTTCCCTTCTTGGCTGCCCGAGTTCTGTTTCCATCACAAGGTCTAACACCCGGCTCTACAGCACTGTTGTGTAAGCCAGCACCACCAGAAAACAGCAATCTTCAAACATCTCCAGCCAGGTACAAGGTGCTTTGGAAGGTGCCGATGCAACCGACTTTCCTAACTCTTTCACCTGAAGGCCAAGCACCTCCAGCTTTTGCCCCGTTTGGGCAAAGGGTTATTTCAGAGACAGCTTCCTTCAGGACACACTTTCAGCTTCCTTTTTCCTCCTAACCCCCACACAGACCCAAACAAACAGGTAAAGTTTCCCTTTACTGTCTCCCCACTGCCGAGGCTCTTCCTATGCTGCATGCAGCTTTCCGTACCTCTTGGTCTTACCCTGGCAGTGCTGCAGGCAGCCAAAAGTGAGCCCTCAGCATAGCTAGCTCCACAGCCAACACAGACTGGCAACACACCTTCTTTCACCACTGTCCTCCCTCTATAATGAGAGCCAGTTCTGGATGGTCTTCAGCAAGCTCCTACAGCCAAGTCTGCACTAGAAGCCAAGCCAGTGTCTCTTCCCTGCTGTGCCATGGAGCGTACATGTTCTCTTGCCTGCTCCCAGCCCATGCTGAGGCTCCTTGAACCTGCCCACAGCAGCGGTGGCCGCCTCATGAAGCGGTCTCCAGAAGCAGGGACCATCCCAGCCCACAGCAGGCTTCTGGTAGACACAATTGGGAGCCCAGCTTCATGCTCCACCACCAGGAGCCAAATGCCCATTAGTCCAACTTCAGCGTTGCCCTGTTCCCAGCCCCACCGAGGCTGTCATCCCTCCTCACCCGAGGAGGGATAGAGCACTCACACTGGACACCCAGAAAACCCTCTCTGCATCCCAAACCTGCCCTGGAGTGACATGGAGACACCGAAGGGCTTTGGCGGGCCAGTGGACCTACCGTGCCAGATGCTGGCTGCGGTGAGCAGCATGAGAAGAGCAGGACCCATGTCCTCAGGGACCATGGTGTCTGCAGAGACCGTGGTGTCCCCAGTGTGGAGCAGGGGCGCAGCTGAAGGATTCTCTCGAGCAGTGGGCGCCTCTCCTCACGGGCACCGTCCCCAGCGCTCCCTTGGCAGGAGCTTCTCCTTTCTGACTTGACCACAAGTTAAGAAATTCCCTTTTTTTGTTTGTTTTGAAAGGGGAGGGAAAAAAAAAAAAAAAAAAGAAAGCAATGTTTTGAGACGTCACTGGTGACAAACCCCCTTGGCAGAGGGGGGGCCATGCACGCACCCCGCTGCAGCCCCTCTCCCCCACTGTTGGGGCCACCCTCCTGCCTCAGAGAGGGGTTCAGCCCCAGACCGCTCGCCAGGGCACCATGCCGGAGTTCAGGACAATCCTGATGTGCCCTGGCTGCTGCCACCCAAACCCCCAGGGACTTCTATACTCTTTCCTCTTGCCTGGGGACACAAAGAACCTGGCTGGGACCTGCCTTGATGGCAGGGGACTCCATTTTACCTCAGCAGGACAAGTTTTGCCTCAGGCCTGGTGGATCTTGCTGCCTTCAGGTCCTGAGGACCCACACAGGAACATGGCTGACTCCCTCACAGCAGGCCCTCGAAGATGATTCAGCCTGGGGCAGCTCCCAGGTGGGAAAAGGCCTGTGAAGATGACAAATTATTTTGTTTTAACCAAGAGCATGATCCCTGGTGCAGAGAGGGGTCCGTGGCCACACAAGATGACACCCACTCCAGCACCATGCAGAGGCAGGGTCGAGCCCAGCTAGCTGCAGGCTTGCCTTCACCACCCTCCCCAGCAGGAAGACATGTTGGGGTCCAGCATGCAGACCCTTCCCTGTCCTCAGCTGGGCTGGGGGACACATGGGGATCCCAGCTCTCCTCCTCTCCCAGTTCTTCCAAGCCTGGGGCTCACAACAACTCTGTCACCATCAGGCAGCCACAGGGCTCAAGCAAGGACTCTTCCTCCCCAGGAGTCCATCCCACCCAGTCATACTGCCTTCCTGGTGGGGAGGCTTTTTGAAGCTGTTTTCTAATTGAAAACCTGGCAGGCACCTGGGAGCAGTAATTAGCACTTTGTTAACCCTCCCCCGGACCACACCTATTCCAAAACAGGGGGTGAGGGTAGGCTTGAAGCAAAACAGGTCTCCCAGGGATGCTCAAATCAGCAAGATGTTAGCAGATCAAATCAGACACAGGGTGTCCCTTGCTCTCTGCTCTATCTCTGGATAACCTCACGCTGCAGCAGAAGTTCATGACAGTTCACGGCAGCTCTGGGGTGGGAAGTTTTGGCCACCACCTGACAGTGCTGGGAAGCACAGGGGAGGAAGATCCTGCCTGGGGTGAGCTGGAGGGCTCTGTCTTAGCTGCACCCAGCTGCAGTCCCATCAGCGGGGAAGTGACAGGGACACTGGCTGCAAAACGTGGGCAGAAAGAGATGGGCTTTTCCAAAATGTCTGCACAGAGGTAGCTGTTGAATCTGCACTTGCAATGCAAGGGTGGCAGGCAGAGGAGTGCCCCTCATGCCTCCACAAACCGGAGGGGAATGGGCTTCTCCAAAGGGGGCAATTAGAGAGGTACCAGCAAGACAAGGTCTTGGGGCCAAGAGATTAGAGCATGGCTGACTATGCTGGAGATTAGTGCATGGCTGACTAAGAGTCATGGGAACATGGAGAGAGCTCCTGGTTTTGGCCAGAAGGATGGCTGGAGAGCATGAGGGAGCCCAGAGAGAAGGAAAGGCAGCTTTTGGCCAGAGAAGACTTCCTCTCAGCAGTTTTTCCTGGCAGGATGTGGGGAAGAATAACACAAAGTAGAGGCAGCGTGGTGCGCTGGGGGGCTCCTGCTCAGACCTGGGGGGCTGTTGAGCGGCTGGGCCACAGGAGACGTCTGCCTGATTATTCTTTCCTCCTTTTGAGCCAAAGGGGCTTTTTAAAGAATGTTTGAAGGATGTTTGTTTCCCTCCTTCTTCTTTTTAAGTTTGTTCTTTTTTTTTTTTTCCAGGAACAAATGCCAGCTCAGAGAGAACTGACTCACCAGTGTGAACAAGTATTAAACCAGACAGGTTTAATACAGAGAAGGGAAACAATCTCTCAGCCTCCCTTCTTCTCTTTAAAGAGGCCTCTTGCAGAGTGTCTCTGATGGCAGTGGTCCACAGGTGACAAGACACAGCCTGTACACATGGGTCCCCAAGCTGGGCTGGGGGATGCTGGAGCACCTGGGGATGCTCAGTGGGACAAGCTGTCTGCTGGGGTTCCTCCCTCATTGGTGGCTATCTCTTCCTGCCTGCAGGCTGCACCCCAAATCCTGTGGTTGCAAGCAGCAGCTCAGCCACAGGAGTGCTGCTGGGGCTCATGTGCCCAAGCAGCTCTGAGCAAGGGGCAGGGATGTTCTCAGAGGAGCTGCAGCCTTACTTGGAGACACGTGAAGCCCAGGGATGTCTGTGGAGGCCCCAATGGCCAGGAAGGAGTGCTGGGAGATGGCATGAGACTTGCTCAGTGCCTCAGTGGCCACAGGCTGGCTTTGGAGGGGAGAGTGGAGGCTGCTGTGAGCCCTGGTTGGGAGCACTGGGAGCTCAGCCTTGTTTCCCAGGCTGGGAGCAGGGCTGGGCCATTCCAGCCCTACGGAACCCCTGCACTGAGTACAGCTGGCCGTGGTGTCATGCCTGCCAGTACTGCCCTGCAGCAGTCTGGGGACACCTGTGAAACACCCATGTCCCGAGTGAGCTGTTGGTACCCAAACAGCTAAAAACCCTGGTTGCAGCAGGCCAGGGTTTGTCTCCGCAGTCTGAGTTTCTCTGCTTCCCTGAGCAATTCCACAAGGTGCCTGTCTCATCACTGGACAGGAGACTTGTTTCGGGGTGGGGAAAATGCCCTGCTGGAGGCTGGTAGGCCCCATGTCTGCCTACTCCTTCCCAGCCCTACGACCCCTCCTCGACGCATCCCAACATGCAAAAGGCCTGCCAGGCAGGGATCGGGCAGTGGCAGCCAGCTGGGTTCAGGGCTGAGGTCTACCAATTCCCCCTCCCTCCTTCCCCCCAAGCCTTTGCTGCAGCCTCTCTGGAGATGAGGGGATTTTTTTTCCCTGCTGATTCAGCTCCTGGAGAAAAATGCCCTGTCTGCCTGTCGTGGCTGAGCTGTGCCAGGTGACTCAGAGTGTATCTGGGGAGAATCAGCCTGAACTGGTCAGGAAGCCTGCAAACCTCCTCTCTGGCAAACTGAGCAAAGACAGGAGCCCAGGACAGGCCATGCTGGAAAGGGGAGCCTTGCTGGGACTTGGATCTGTCTCCTGCTGCAGCTGGTGTCTTGGGCTTTTGGGTACATGAAAGGTTTCCAGGACCTGAGGGAGGCATGACTGCTGCCAGCGGGGACTTGCACCGGGGCTGCATCATGCAGCCTGAAAACAGGGCCAACATCGATATATCAGTTCAAAATCCCCTCTCTGCAACAACCCCAGGCTTTCCAAGCATGTGGCTCAGAGCTGGCTGCAAACAGCTCCGCTCAGCAGCCTGGGGTCATTTTCAAGAGGAGCAGTTTGGTTGGAGCCAGAGGGAGGAGAAAACTTTGGGCTGGACTCAGGAGGCGCCTGTCTCTCATGGGGCTGGGGGACCCCAGCACTTCTGGAGAAGTGACTGGGAGAAGGTGAGAGGAGCAGGAGGAAAGCTGGGGCACATGCTGACCAGAGGGAGTGGTAGTGTAGGGATCCAGTACCGTGGGATTGTGTTTTAAAGGGTATCAGTGAATTTCTCATCCCGGATGGAGGGGAGGAGAACCCAGCTCAGAGGAGAGCAGGACATGGGGAGCCCTGTGCAATGCAGCGTGGCTCCTGCTGGTGCCCTGCCCCATTGCTACGCCCAGTCTCTCCCACCGCCTTGAGCTATTAAACTACATGGAAGCACTGTGGTGTCCCCCATCTCCTTCAGCCCAGCACTGTTCCCCCTGGCAGCTCCCACATCCCTACCCTGATCTGAGCACAGACCCAGCGATGCCCCCAAGGAGCACGTCAAGACCTTGTTGGGCTGCTGTGGGGCTGCTGGCCCAAACCTCTGGCACTAGGGATACACATGGGAATAGTTCCCAGTGTCCTTCCCTCTACCCACCTCTTCCCTCAGGCCACAAGCTGGCCATTTACCAGAGAGACAGGGCAGATCCTGCCCTGTTCACAGCCCCTTTTCCTTACCACGTCTCTGGGCTCAGCTGTTGCCTTGCTGTGCTTCTCTCTGCCTGGCTCCCAGCTTGGCTTTTGCTAAGTGTTGGGGTCATGCACAGCTTATTAACATGCTTAGCCTTCACCCACGACATGGTTAAGCTGATTCCCAGCCCCATCTGAATGTGAGAAGGTGGCAGCAACCAAAACCAGGCAAACAGAGATGGAATTTTGCAAAAAGAAAAACACCTTTATTTTTAAACTCTTTCTTTAAAACATATTTGTAAATGTTTACAGCATAAAAATAGTATCTCATGGCTATAGATGTGACATAATACAAATCCTACAAATACATCTGTAAACCTAGGAAAATGTTAACTCTTTGGTACCTTAGTCTGAACTCTGTTTTTTCCTTTGCCCTCAGGATGGTTTCTGACAGACAACATAGAGGCAGGTGCTGCTTCTGTTCAGAGATGCTGCAGAGTGACAGCGTGATGCCAGCAAGCCAGCGCAGCAGGAGGGGGAGAGGGCAGAGGGCACGCTTTGGGCAAGATTTGCAGTTATGGTGCAATCCATGAAGGAGGAAAGGACAGGAACAATGGGATGCTGCAGGTCTCCCAGCACGAGCCCTTCCTTGCGCCTGTGCATTGGAGCATGGAGTTTGCCTCCTTAGTGCATTAGCTGACATCTCATTTTAGAAAAAGCCCCCAAAAGGAGACGTGTGAAATCCCCTTCTCTAGATCTGCCCGGCTTTACACAGGCCCAGCTTCCCCACAGCCAAAACCTAACGCACTGCCCAGTACCCTGCATTTGTGGTGCTGTCTTTCCCCCAGCTCAGAGCCCCGACTGGG